TAAAATTTTATTATTGAAAGTTGCAGACAATCTCGTTAGAAACATTTAGGCGAAAACCTTATCGAAATTCGAGTTATAACGAAGAAGTTATGACTAATCGAAGATTCGCAACAAAATTGGCAAACACTATTCCGGATAAAAAGTGAGTTTTCGATAAACTACTTTTTAGCCTTAGTGGTCTAAGTGAAAGTCGTAGTAACATCCAAATCTGACTTCGTATGAGGAAGTTATGATTTTTTTTTTAAATTTCGGAATAGCAGTAGACAACTAAAAACTCGAAATAAAGATCGAATGATATTTATCCAACACAATCTAAACGAGAATCGAAGGTCTCGTCAATGGTAGTACAACGGTAAAAAGTCTGACGAAAACGGATGTCGGATGAAGAAGTTATGAATTTTTAACGGATTTCCTGTCCCGGTATGTTAAAAATAATAATATTAAAATTAAAGTCAAAATTAGCCAACGGAGTTTAAACAAAAGTTGTAGAGCATAGTTTTACCTACGCGTGCATATAAAGAACGTCGAAAACGGAGCTCGTATGCGAAAGTTATGAATTTTAGAAGTTTGCGACACAAAATTCAAGAAAAATGCTAAAACCGAGGAATTTCGCATGGTTGGTGTTCGGCCACGTCACACTCACCCGGAACTCGCCTCGTGTCCGACGTCGATGAGTTATCTGAGCAGTAGTTGACGCGTGTCGCAGATCCTCGCATCCGAAGCGTTGGTCCAACCGTGGAGCGCCGCGTGTTTGAGCCTCACACCCGCCTCGTGTCCCACCTCGCATACGAAGCTGCCACATGCTTCTTTCTCCTTACTCCGGATCCGAAGCTCGCATCTGCTGCTGCGTGTCTCTCTCTCAGCCGTAGATCTTCGGACTCGTCCCCTATAAATAGAAGGTTGCGAGATCTTCCGGCTACTTTTGGAAAATTGCCATTTTCACCTCTAAGCTCAAATTGTCATTATTTCGACTTTCTCCCGAATTTCCGAAATCATTTTCAACACCCGAAACACGCCCCAAAGTGCCTGAGAAGCCCGATAAATATATCTTTTCCGTTTAAAGCTCTACCTTCGCAGAGCCTGGTTTTCAATAAATCTCCTGGTTTTTATAGAAGAAAGCTATTTATAGGAACGAAGTGCTGCACAAATTACTATTTTGACCACCGGTTATTTCAAAGTGAGGTTAGTATATAGGAAAAATTGTATGTTATGTGTTATATGTGCTATGTGCTTTTATGTGTTATCATCCCGTGTTATTATTTCCGCTATTTTGATAGCAAAGTTGTATCTTTGGCCACGAAGTGTATGACATAAGCATCACTTGGGTAAATGTATGTAGCCTCTGGCCGTGTAGAACATGTCTCGCAAGAGAATGACTTCTACCCCTATGACATTGGCAGAAAGTTAGATAGGGTTGAAATCCTGAAATCTACCAAAATATTTAAATTAGAAAGAGTATGTCTTCTGTGCCATTTGGGCCGAAGTGTTATTGATGTATATCAAGTATGAAAATTGTTATGTCTCACTGATTTTATATATTTGAATCAAATCATTGATTGATATGGAAAGTTTGTCACATGATTCACATATGCCTTTGTTGTTCCTTGTTCCTCTTTGCTTCTGTCATTGAAATATATATATATATATATATATATATATATATATATATATATATATATATATATATGACATAACGTTATATTGTATTTATTGTTGAACTCACTAAGCGTCACCGTTTACCCTCTCAATGTTTAACAATTGCAGGAAATAAGCAATCAATATAGTTATATACTGATAGAAGATTTTGAATGGTTTGAAACTATTGTATTTTGTGCTCATGTATGTATAAAACTATAGTATCCTGAGTAGTTATGTAATATACAACACTTTGTAAAATATTAAACTTAGTCGGTTTGTATCCCATCTTTTGTATTAAGACAAACAATGTAAAATATAATATTTTTATGAATATGCAAGTAGCATGTTTTGGAGTAATAATGTGTTGTTAAGTATGAAAGCGAAGGTCTTTTATTATATGTGGTTACTATTTGGTGTTTATGTATATAATGTGAAGTACATATGATCTGTATAATGGGTGAGTGTTATGATTACTCACTTAGCCTTACACTTACAATTGCTACTTTATGTTTATATAATGTGAAATACATATGATCTTTTCAGGTTCTATGGGCATGAAGATGGTATGATTGATATATCTGGACATTCTCAGAGGGGCATGACATATGATTTATCAATTTTATGTTAAGCTATAGTTTTCAAAACAAGACTTAGCTTCCGTATTCTTACTATGATTATATTGATGTGACATGAAAAGATGATTTTATAATTTTCTAATGATCATGAATTATACCTTTTGATAAAACTCATACTATGATTTTCAAAATTTTATAGTTGAAATTGGGTACATTACAAGATATAATAAAAAATAATCGGTTTATGAATAGTATAATTCAAGTTTTAGAGTTTTGCCACAATACTTTCATATGTTGGCATGTTTGGTCCCTATGGAGAAAATATTACAAAATTATTTCTATAATTTACAAAAAAGATCTGTATTTTTTTTTAATTTTTTTTTATTTTTTTTAAAATTTTTTATAGGAAGTGATCCGTATGTTTAAATAGTATAATCTTTGGGTTTGAGATATTGGCCACAAGACTTTCATATGTTGATATGTTTATCCTTTTGTAGAAAATAAATTATAAAATTGTCCCTATAATTTACACAAAATGTCTATATTTAGATTTTTTTTACACTAAATGGTCCACATATTTAAAAAAAAAAGTAGAAAAATTGTTCCAATTTTTACATATTACACCCCACAAAATGAACATTGAAATTTATAAGTTTGACAAAAGACAATTAAAAATTACCTCATAAAACTAAGAGAAGAAAATTTCTAGTTTTTTTTATTTTTTTATTTTTTTATTTTTTATATTTTAAAATTTTTATTTTAGTTTTTAATTTGAGTAAATTACTGAAATCGTCCCTGTGGTTTGGTCAAAATTGCACGTTTGGTCCCTAATTCTTTTTTTTGCACTCTGATCGTCCCTGTGGTTTGATTTTGTTGCGTCTTTCGTCCCTATGGTTTGGTAAAAATTGCATGATTGGTCCCTAACTTTATGTATGTAAGGGACGAAAAATGCTACAAAATCAAACCACAGGGACGAAAAACACAACAAAATCAAACCATGAGGACTATCCAAGTGCAAAAAAAAAAATTAGGGACCAAACGTGCAATTTTAACCAAACCACATGGACGATTTCAGTAATTCACTTTTTTTAATTTTAACTGACAATTAAAAATTACCCCATAAGACAATTAAAAATTACCCCATAAAACTAGAAAATTTCTAGTTTACTCTAAAAACTACTGACTTTGTTTTTCAAAGATAGTCGAAAGACTTTAATGCCACCAGCAAAGTATTTTCAAAGAGTTAATAGTTTGTTGATATTATAACAAAACTATTTATTTTTTAGTCAATAAATGATTTTTGATTTTTGTGTTTTAAATGCATTGCTTTAAATTTTAAAGTAATAAATACATTTGTAGCACATTGAAATTCATTACTGTATTAAATATAATAACCAAAGAACTTATAGTTTAGTGGTATTGATGTTGTTTTCATTCCTTAAGGTTGAGGGTTCAATACCAGTCGTGAACATAGGTGGATTTGAGGTGTAGTTTAGAAGTATGTTAAATTTGCCGTTTTAAAAAAATAATAATAATAAATATAATAGCGTAATATGATATCAACATTTGAAAAATCGAACATTATTAAGAAAAGGTCAAAGTACTTAGAAACTATAGTATTTTGTTAATTTTACGGTTTAACAATTTATATTGTATTTTAGTATTTTTTCTCCTAAAATCATTAAATTTCGATTTTTTTTTGCACTGCAACAACCTACTGTCGATTCAACTAGAATTACCAATGATAATATATTAATTTTTTTTCTTAAGAACAGTTCATTTATTCTCACAATAACCATTTTTTTATATATAATTTGGCCTCTTTGACATATAGTATGACATTTTTCTAGAATTTAAGATAATATGTGTAATTTTAGATGATCTTACATAACATATATTTATTTTCTTCTATTATAGAATATGTTACTAAACATATACCATCATATCATTTGTTTGACTCTTCCATTTTTTCGTCCTTAATGAAAATGAATTAAATATTGAAAACTCTCAAACTTTATAGCCTCAAAAATAAAAAATTCAAACTAATAACAAGCATAATATGAGTTTATCTATAAATAAACAAATAGGTTTTAAAGCTAAGTTAACAACTTTACAAACAAATAAATATTTAGAGATTTAAATAAAAAACATCATCACGAAATTTATTTAACTCATACAAACAAATAGTTAAAATGGAATACACATTATGAATTATATATTATTATGGAAAATTTTATATAAGCAATTAAAACCTTATTATATACTTCTTATTTATTTATTACCTAATTAATTATAATTTTGAAACGAATACTAGTACATCTAATATATTAAAAAAAATCCACATCAAGGTTCACAATCATTATAAAAAACACAATTAATTATGGTATTGTTTCATACACATATCAATAGTTAACAAATAACACTTAACTAAAATAATCTAAAAGTAGATTAGATTATAATTTTAAAAAATATTAATTAATATAAAAAACACTCTTTCAAAAAAAAAAAAAAAACTCTTTAAAAAAAATAATATTTTAAATAATAAATTATTATAATGTTCACGAAACTAACTAACAATAAATATGTTTTAAATTTTACTATGATGTCAGCTGAAGTTTGTTAGTCTAGGTCAACGTTTGGTTTTAATGAGCATTTAATTAACATTTTAATAACAAAATCCAAAATTCCAAATGGTGAGATACTGTAAATCCGAAAAGTAGAGGGTGGTAAAGTGCAGTATTTCTAAAATTCAATTTCTCGCGGGTAAAATTCGCTTATGCTTGAAGCATGACGTGTCGTCATCTAAGGAAGACGTGTTTAGCTTTTAGACATCCACCGACCCGACCCGTTTATCACGACAACCATTTGGATCTTACCCTATATGTATACCCCCCTTTCTACTTCTTCATAAACCCTAGACAGGGTTAAGAAATCTGAACTCTCCTGTTTGATCATCATTTTTTCGCTCTAGGCTTTCGATCATTCGACAATTGCTGCAGCTCAGGTTGAATTTCTATTTTTTTTTTTCTTTATTTCAAGTCGAATTCGCAGTCCTCATTGTGATCAAGCATTTGATGTTCATGATTTTTTTCCAGTCTTCTAATTTCTACTTCATATTGTGATGAATTTGTTTGTTCAACTTGTGTGCTTAGGGTTTGATTGAATTTCAGCTTTTTTGCTCCGAAATGTCTCATGGTTGTAAATGTTTGATCATAAAGTTCTCATTTTTTTCGTTAGAAAGTTCACACGCTTAATATATACATTTGCTCGCTTTGGATTCTCAATTCTATGTTCTTACTTAAAGCAAGTGTTTTTTTTGGGGGTAGGGAGACGTGGAGGCATTTTGGGACTTGCAATTTTTTTTGTTGATTTAAGTGATCATCTATCTACAAGTTTGTGCTTTTTATATTTACCATTGTTCTATGAGTTACAAATGATGAATTTTGAGTAGAAAACTGCGAGGTTGTTTGCTTCTGGATGTGTTACTGCTTCCGATTTGTGATTTTTAATAGTTCAGAACCTTGGATCCTCTACGCCGATCTCATACCTAAAAATAGGGGGTTGTTTATGTGTGGGTAATTCGTTGAAGCATATTAGAAATATTATCGATTCAGAATTTTTAATGTAAACCTGAAGTTTTTAGCTGTTTCACAGTTTCTTTTCGCTTTTTTTCCCCTCAATTCTATGAATCTTAAATTAAGACAAGTATGAATAACCATGAACTATCTATGCATGGCTACAGGTTCGTTTGTCCCTCTTCTGATTATTTGCTGTTTAAATCTTATGATTCACAATTTGTAGTAGGATCAAGATCAGAAAGTTCTTTTTTTTTTTAAACCTTCTCTGTTTAGTTTTCTGGTATAGTAGGATCAAGTATAATGAAAGAGTTATTTCCTTTTTAACCTTCTTTGTTTTGTGTCTTAGATCTACATCCATTTCTCCGATTCTTGAAACGGAAGTTGTTGATTTTCCAAAACTACATGTTTATGATGCTAAAACTTTGTAAATCATTCTGAAGCTCCATTTTCTTATATTCTTATCCGTTTCAGGGGCGCGTGGGGGCTCCTGTACACCATCAGACCATGAACACACAAGCGCAGACAGTCATGTATGCCAGGGGTGGTAGGCGAAGGAAGGTACTTGATGTGGATCTCAATGACACTCCACCAAATGAAGACCATGAGCAAGTGGAAGGTCCACTTCTTTCCTTGACTCATGGTGGTCAACTACAAGCTGTTGACCATAACCATAACCATAACCATAACCAGTTGCCAGTTATTGCATTGACCCCAGGATCTTCACCACCTGTTCCAATCGATGTTGAGGAGCTTGATGATGATGTTATCATTTCATCACCAAGAGCTTTTGAACAAGTACATTCTGTGTTTAGCTTTACACTAAAAAAACATTACCTTTTTATAAAATATTCAGATTATTAATCAGCCTTCGTTTGTCTTCTTTCAGGCTAGAAACAGTTCTCGTAGAATTGCAAGAAGAACTTCGGTGATTGATGTGGAATCAGGTAAAGTTATAATCAAATTAGGGTTTTATTATAAATAAACACCAATCCATACATGGTATGTATATATATTAGTATTGTGAAAATTTTCTTATGTAATATGTAAAATGGCAGAGGAAGTTGGTAACCACCGGAACCAAAGAAGAAGAGTTGAACCCAAGCCACAAGTCCTAAGTGGTGGCCTGTATGTGATTTTGGAAGGAAGTAGCAGTTCCATGGTAATACCAATACCAATTACCAAATTACCATACTACACCTGGTGTATTTTTTGGGGAAGCAATGAAATTGGTTGTTTTTGTAAAATGGCAGGAGGAGAGAGCAGCAGCACCACCACCTGAGCCGACTTTCAACTGTCCGGTTTGCATGGGACCATTGGTTGAGGAGGTGACTACAAAATGTGGTCATATCTTCTGTAAAGGCTGCATAAAAGCTGCAATTGCTGCTCAGGCAAAATGTCCAACTTGTAGGCGCAAAGTCACCAATAGGGAACTCATCAGGATCTACCTTCCTTCCACCTCTTAAGTCTTAAACCTCAGGTGTCTATATTTTCTATACTCAATTCTTCATATTACAAGTGTATTTATGTAATTGCATAGATAGCATCTACGGTTTGTATATAAATAATGTTTGTGTTTGTGTGATGACAGGTCATCCATCGAGTGCTTTGTTGTGGGATTGAAGGTAGTGGAGTTTATGAGATCAGAATTTCAAGTAGGATTTTTATACAATTTTTTTTTTTTTTCGTCTGGAGATGGATGGGGAAGTATACTTGAAGGAGCATAGGTTTTGTTTTGCACCTTGTGGTGTTGAACATCTCTCGTTTTTGTGTTTTCCTCCTTCTGTTCTGTGCAGCTTAAGCTTATTAATTAGAGCGTTTTCTTAACAGATAAATATTAAATGTTGTATTTGGATTTTAAACTCAAATGGTTCCCCTTCATATCTAATTTTACTAGATGTGTAACAGGTTTCTGTGGCAATCTGTCCATTGCTGACAAAAAACAAACTGCTCAAAGAATCATTAAGATCATATTTAAAATTTATATTTATTTCCTTTTATTGAAATATTGAAAAATAGAGTTCATGAAATTCAGAAATTTGTGTTGTGTACATTTAATCTTAAGCATTTATAAGTACGAAGACATTCCTCATCAACGTAATCACAACTAAAAATAAAAACAAATTTTGTGTATGCTAGGAATCGTTAAGCTTAAGAAAGAGCTTATGTTCGATTTTGTAAAGTCAAAAATTTCAAATCCAAATTTTCTTTTCAACAGTTTAGATAAACAACCATTTTCATATAAATGAAGCGCCTATGGTTCTAAAATTCTAAAAACATGTCACATGAAAATTATTGTATCAACATAATAAGTACCGGAAGTCTAAGATGTTTGTTTTTTATCTATAACCTGTGCCGTGCAGACCACACACCAACATTAGACTGGCAGACACTTTTTATTTTATTTTATTTTATTTTATTTATTTATTTATTTTTTTAAGATTGCAGACCTAAAAAAGTATGTTTTTCCTTTTTTTGGTAGATACATGGACCAAAATCTTCAAATCTAACTCAAAAATACACATATATCTATGTTTTTTTTTTCTTTTGTTTTTTTAAACATAAATTTATTCGATAAAAATACTTTTTAATAAAAAAAGTTACAATACTTAAAAGAAAAAATGTTCGACAACACAATTATTTGTGATAAATTTACTTTGATTAGAAATAATTCAATTTTTTTTAACAACACGAATCTCATAAGTTGAGTTTGCGGGAAGAGAGATCTTTATATTGTATAACAATCAATGAAATTCAGAAATTTGTGTTATGTATATTTAATCTTAAGTATTTATAAAAGTATTTATAAGTACGAAGACATTCCTCACCAACTTGTTGTGTATGTTAGGAATCGTTTAGCACAAGAAAGAGCTTGTGTTCAATTTGTAACGTTCTAAATTTCAAATTCAGATTTTCTTTTCAACGGTTTAGATAAACAGCTATTTTCATAAAAATGAAGTATCTATAGTTCTAAAATTCTTAAAACATGTCACATGGAAATTATTGTATTAAAACACGAGAAATATAAGATATTAGTTTTTTTTTTCTATAGATCTTCTTGGTCTTTTCTATTTGTGCCGCTCAGACTACACGTAGTCATTAGACTTTTCAGACTGTTTGTATTTTTAAAGACTGTAGATCTAAAAATGTTTGTGTGTTCTCTTCTTAGCACAAACGTGAACCAAAGTCTTCAAACATCTTCTAACCAAGAAAAAACATATATCTTTTTTTTTGTTTTTGTTTTTTTTTAACTTAGATTTATTCCAACTTTATTTCTGATAAACAATTTTTAATTACAAAGTTACAATACTTAAAAGAAAAATATTCGACGACACAATCATTACCTTTGAAACAAATTTATAAATAAAAATTTAATTACAATAGTGGTCATTGGAGTCGTTTATATAAATATGAAAAAAATCATAATATTGTATCAAATTTGATAAAACATTATTTAATGCAATATCATTCATTTTTCGGGAAAAAATAGTTATGCCTAATTTTTAATTGATTTAATTGAAAAATTAAATTAAAACTTTGAAAATTTTCATTTAAAATCAAAGCTTATTTCAATCCATTTTATGTGTTAAATTCTTTTATCTCTAATTACAGTGTTTAGGTATAACTTTACGATCAAATTTGTTGTTTTTTATTAAATATATATCTTAATTCGTATCATTTTATTTTCACTTGTAACGTCTCAAACTCATAGAAACATTTTCATTTTTAAATAGGAAAACATTATATATATATATATATATATATATATATATATATATATATATATATATATATATATATATATATATATATATCATAAAAGATCATCAATGTCAAACAGTGTCTTAAAAGGAACATCATAGTATCATCAAATCTCAAGTGTAAAATCTCTAGTGGATGCGATATATATATATATATATTATATATATATATATATATATATATATATATATAATATATATATATATATATATATATATATATATATATATATATATATATCATAAAAGATCATCAATGTCAAACAGTGTCTTAAAAGGAACATCATAGTATCATCAAATCTCAAGTGTGAAATCTCTAGTGGATGCGATGCAATCATGTTGGCCATTCCTTTTTGAATTGGAAGTACCTGAAAATGTTAAACCACAAAATTGTAAGCACGAAACTTAGTGAGTTCTCCAAAATACCACATACCAAATAAATGGGCCCAACCCAACATATAACAAATAAGCCTAACCCAACATATAAATGGGCCCCACTCAATAATAAATTGGCCCAACCCAATATACAAATAATGGGCCCAACCCAACATACAAATTGGCCCAGCCTAGAACTATATATGCAAGAGTCACAAAGATAATTAACACAATCCAGTGGACCCACATTGATGCCTTCGACCCACGAGCATAGTAGAAGACTCACTTCAATCGATAGAAAAATAAAACTCACACTCGAGCTGCTGCTACAAAAGCTCCTCACACTAAACATATTCAAAACAACCTTAATTAGCAACTAATGTGATAATCCATAATTAAGGGTCCATTACATATTCTCTTCCTCTAGGGTAAAATACAATTTTACCCTTCCATGGCCATGATCCACTCAACTTGACCTAAAGTCCATTTTGACCAAAAGTCAACATCTGGGGGGGGGGGGGAGGGGGTGTACGCCATGCGTAACATGCTCTACGCCTAGTGTAGAGCCTTCAAATGGAAATCGGGACAAAATCAGGCTATGCCCTGCACCAACGCTATTTGCCAACTTTCTTAATAAGTCCTTAATACCTTAAGACCAAACGTCTAACTCCCAGATCTAAACCTAATGAACGTATTGAGTGATAAAGTTCCTGACTTTATGCCTTTGCATGTCTTAATGGAGCACAAGACCAAACCCTAGTTCCATATCATCCTCTAATGACCTCAAACCTTGCATGGGTGAAAGGTAGCAACCAAGATCCCATTTTTATGATATATGAACCTCATAAACAAAAATAAATGACAAACTTAAGCTCTGGAGTAGCTCTTACTCACAAGAACCAAAATCATAGGACTAGAAGCATGCAAACCAACAAGCTAACCTATATCTAATCAAAAGAATCATAAATGTGAGAACTTTATACCTTTTGAAGTTGAAACATGATATGAAAACTATGGATCTTCAAGCTTGAGCCACACCCATCCACAATGATAGACTTCTCCATCTTTAAAATGCCCAAAAAACACTCAAAAGGCTCAAAAGGGATTAAGGTTTCGACATCATTGTTCGGGAGAGCAGAGGCTGAGGTTAGAGAGGCTTCAAGGGAGTTAAGGTCCTTAAATAGGGACACAACCATAAAAATTTAGGGTTTAAATACTGTGCACTTACGCCCTATGTAGGGATCGGTATGCCCTGCGTAGGGCTTTAAGCCCCTGCTTCCTTAAACCATCCTACACCCTGCGTAGGAAGCAATCCTACGCCCTGTGTAGGACCATTTTGCAAAGGAAATTATTACTTAATGTAAAAAGGGGATACCTGGGAATATGATGTTACATCACTTTTTATACAATAATACATAAAAGTTGATTTACATTTTTAATTATCTATAATAAAGTCATAAAATTATTGAAAAACTCTTTTAAGCTCTTTTTTTTTTTAAAAAAAAAGTTCAATTAGATTTTAGTTTATTCGAGCAACCTGCCGATTTAAAAAACAAACAATCTTCTTCTTTTAGACTGCAAATGTTTGGTCCACCTCTTTTACTATAGAGGTCAGCAGATATGGTCTATAGATTGCAGACATTTTGCCACAAAAAAAGCAAACAACTCCTAAAACTTAAACATAGGAGATGTGCATGTGTTACGGTTCAGTTGGAGCCTTTGTACTGCTAAATGAACTATCTGAAAAACATCAAACCACAACTGTAAGCACAAAGCTTAGTGAGCTCCTCAAAATATCACACACATCATAGTAATAGTTGTATGTAACCATATTAGGCTTGTTTAACTCACGAACTACTCCAGTCTTGCTATATTCCCAACTGGGTTTGTTTGACTTACAATTTGTTCTAGTCTCGTCATCATCCCAATCAAGCCTATTTGAATCACTACTTGCTCCCATCCAGTCATCATCTCAACAAAGCATCAACACATACAAGCAAACAAGCAAGACCCTACAAGTCTAGCTAAACATACATTCGTATCATAGTATTGCATATGTATCCAAAATACAGATGAACTAATCACGACATAAGTAACTTAGCGAGAAGACTCACTTCACAGGAAATCTGGAAAAATCACAACCTCACGCAAACACACGTAAAGGTTTGAAACACATGTTCCAGGTAAATAGTTCATTAATGTTAATGGAAAATTAAAGAATTAATGTGGGTTTTTGTAGTGGCCACGGTATGGTGAATGATGCACCACGACGTGGCCATGGCTAAAGGAAACGTGTAGCATCTGTGCACACCACAATGTGGTAGGATATTTTCCACGACATGGCGGCCGCTTGTATGTAAAACCTTAATTTTTTGGGTTTTGTGCCTTATTTAAGGGATATGATGGCTAGGACACACTATGAACCTCCATTACCCCCTTTTCAACCTAGAAAAAACCCTAGCCTATGTTTTGATATTGTGAGCTTTTGTGGTAGTTTTTGGTCCTTTGAAGAAGAAGAAAGTGTCTGTAACATCCGAAACCCTAAGGTACTAAATTCATTCATTCTTGCATTTTGAGGGTCCTCACTACGTGAGATCTTGGGGCTCACGTCGTGAGTGAACATTGGCCCGTTGACCCTCAATTTTTGTCTCACCCCCAAAACAGAGCAGCGGAAACGTCCGGGGGTGGATGACTTGTTGTTAAGTATCACAACACATGCATTATAGTAATCAAAGTACAACAATCATTGTATTATAAAGTAAAATTTTACATGTGTGTTTAATCATTGTATATTGACACCAAAAGAGATATTTACAAAAGATAGAAAAACATGACTCATCAGAGCTCCTGTCTTCTAAAAAATCCTGGGAAAGTTC